TCATCTGAACATTAGAAGTCACTGTCATTCATACCAAACGTCAGAGAGTTGACAGTTGAGTATGAGGATTTGTACTGTTTATTCAAATATTAGCTTTTTTCAAAACACACTGTAATTAGAATATAATTTATCCTATGCCTTTTTAATTAGAAAAGTGTTAGTAGCACATTGTAGGAACATAAATGTTTGGTGAATTTGAAACTTTTTTTCAGGTTTCAGTATTAGTAAAGAGTTACAGCATCTTGAATGTGCTTGATTACATTCCACTGAAAAGCAGTCGCCAGAATTCAGTTTGATCTGAAGCTCGTTTCATAGAAGGGGTTAAGTTCACCTGTTGAGAATAGTCAGATGACTTTCCTTATTCCAGGAGCAGTGCAGTAGGGTCATCATGAAGCCTTTTTCACAGGTGATTTTGGACTAAAAAGAAAGGTCAGTCACTTTGAATTGACCAGGACAGGGTTTTAATAAGGAGTTAAATTGGAGGTCTGAGAATCACTGGAGTTTCTGTATACGTTTGTTTGATTTAAAATGCATGTTGCACTGCTGATTTTTTTTCTTGCTTTGTGTACACTATAGGTAATGTGATGATATGTTGCTAATGTTCTGTGTATGTATTTGCATCTGGATTCAATTTTACAGGTTTGTGGAGCAGCTGTATGAATATACTTGAATATACTCTTCAAATTGTATGATGTATTGTGTTCACGGATATATTTAGGAGCTCGTTTTCATGTCAGGCTTCATAATTTGTATATTTATAGGCCGTCTGTAATCGCATTCACACCATACAAGGAGCTTAAACCTCTGTTAATTCTGCCTGACTTTTTCTGTTTTAGGTCTTTGGCGAATGGTTTGCCTGGAGCAGTAGATTAAGCTCCAATGATTTTAACTGCATTCATCTAGGACACACTGCAGTCTGCATAGCAATTGCAGGAAGCTTAAATTTGAAAGTGTTACCGGGTTTGTTTTGCTTATTGGCACTCTCCCCCAGCCTGTCCTTTGTTTTGTTTTTTTCAGTTATGTGAAATTCTGTACAGGTAATATTTGTTGTTACGTTGTACACAAAAGGTGAAGGGTTTCCATTCTTAGGAGGGAATGAGATACATGACTTGTTTTCATATGTTAACAGCTTTTTATTGATGTGTATTTACACTACTGCCATCTGGGAGACGGCTCTGTCCCCAGGTGTAAAAGTAATCACCTCCCCCCCTTCAGTAATTCTATCAAACAATGTAAAGTGACTCCCTCATCTCCTGTAACACTGTTGTACCATCTCTGGTGGTAATGTTTGTTTTCTTTGTTTTATTGTTGTATTGGACTATGCCAGGAACCAAATTACCCCCAGAGAAGGATAAAGCTTGAATTGAAATGGATTACAAGGTTAACATTGACATTTTAACTGTAGGAGCTGAAAGTTGTGGATAACTCAGGGTACTGTAGGATTCAAATCCTGTGTTGTCTTGATGAAACCTTATTTTTAGCACAGTTGGTTTGCAGTCATGGTATAACTATTGCATTTTAAGAGAGAAATGCATTTAACTTCAATTGGTATTTGAGCAAAATGGCTTGTGACGTAGAAACCAAGACAAATGGGCAAAATGTGAAAATAAGTATTTAAGTATCTTTCTATAGAGACGTCTAGTTTCTCCTTTTCTGTTCCAGAGAGGAGAGAAAACAGTAGAGATCTAAATCTGCAGTGTGATTCTGACATTTGACTTTTCTCTTGTTACACAGTGTTGGACACAGATTGCTGTGCTACTAAAGTTAAACTACACTCTGAAAATGAGAACTAAAGAACGTTATTCCCTCCCTTTTTAAAGATTAACGTTTTATTTCTTCCCTTGTCTGGAGACTTTTACATTGGCGGGGGGGAACTAGAAAAATAATTGAATCTCATCTTCTTATAAGAACATGAGATGTATTTTAAAAACTTTTTGAGTTGCACAAACATGTTTTGGGGTATTTATATAAATACAATGACATTTCCTGCAGGTAAAAAAAGTAGAGTATGATGGCATAAGTGCAAAGGTGTTACTTCGGGTTTGGAGATATTGAGGTGAAACATTCAGGAAATGAATGGTCAAATCAATTAGCAACTAGGGCTCAAATGGTTAGAATGGTCTTTTTAACATATGAAGGTACATTGAAAGGGAATATTCAATAAAGCCAATTCTTAGTATACACTGGGAACAAGTAGAGGGGAATGTCATCTAGTGTGCCCTGCATCTTTTCTATAACTCCATTTGCAATCCTCTTGTCCCAAGAGTATAGAATGTGCAGGACTCAAATCTTTTTTTACTTGCCATTTTATTTTTGGTTGCAAGCGTCAGTGCTCCTGATGATAGAACGGCTTGGTGGTGCAGTGCCACCTCCACGCCACTGGGGTCACGTGCCGGGATTCTAATAGAGCAGATTATAATGGTGTCCATGGCTGGTTTGTGTTATTTCACATGCAAAATCAAGATCCAGCTAATACTAGAGCAGTACATTGACGTAATTAGACAGGTGAGTAATGTAAGAGAACTTATTGGGGTGAAATGACAATAAACAAATTAAAAAAAAAAGTCTTTAGTACGCTTTTCCCTTTTTTTGAGGTAGAAAAGTTAATTTCTCTTCTCTAGGTTAAAAAAGGGGGGACAGCAGATGCTCTAAAATTAATACAACAATAAAATCACATCTGGTTGCCTAAAAGAGGGGATTTTACATGTTTCCTCTCTGGAGCGGAGAAGGTGTTCATGGTGTCTCCCTCAAGGTTCTCAGTCAGTGCCCTCTAGTTGCCATCCTGTCTTTCTCTTCTCTTGCACAAGGCATGACTGGGTTTATATATCCCAAATTATGCTATCCACTTCACCTATTAAAGCCCGACAGCAGTGCTGAGATGTATTGGGCATGAGAGACAAAATGGACAAAAATCTTAACACTCTCATGAACATAGCTAGCTGCATAAAAACACAATTGGTAGCTTACGAAGCGAAGCAGAGATTAGAATATTCAAGAATAAGAAAAAGAGTGGTGTAGAGATTTGAAGTGGAAATGAAAGAGAATTGGTATTGTAAGTTAGAAGCAAAAAGTCTTACAGTCAATTATTCCTGAATCTGTAGGAAATGAATTCTGTCTGTATTCAAATACCAAAAGAAGTGAGATGACCTAGCCAAGATAGTTATATTATAAATAGTTTGGTTTCCCCTCTTTTGAATCAGTGTATACAGTTGCAAGAAAAAGCTGCGGAACCCTTTGGAATTACCTGGATTTCTGCATTTATTACTCATAACAATGTGGTCTGATTTTCATCGAAGTCACAATAATAGATAGACACAGTCTGCTTATACTAATAACACACAATTGTAGTTCTTCTCGTCAATATTGAACACATCGTTTAAACGCTTTTTCCAGCCTGGACTGTGAATATGTGAACCCTTTTATTTAGTAACTGGTAGAACCTCCTTTAGCAGCAATAACCTCCAACAAACATTTCCTGTAGCTGCTGATGAGGCTTGCGTAATGGTGAGGAGGAATTTTAGACCATTCCTCCTTAAACTGTTTCAGTTCATTGATATGCCTGGGGTTCCTTGGGTGAACAGCTCTCTTCAGGTTATGGCACAGCATCTCAATTGGGTTGAGACCGTTCCCTCTATGATAGCAAGCTTTCCAGGCCCTGAGGCAGCAAGGCAGCCCCAAACCATGATGCTCCTTCCACCATGCTTCATGGTTGAGATGAGGTTTTGGTGTTGTTGTGCAGTGCTTTTTCCCCCTCTAAACATAGTGCAGCAATGTGTTTTTTGGGGAGGAGTGGTTTCCTCTGTGGTGTCCTTCTGTTAACACCATTCTTGTTCAGTGTTATTCTTATAGTGGACACATGAACAGAGACTTTGGCAAGTTCACGAGATTCCTGTATAATTGTTTGTGTGTAATTAGTTTAAGCAGATTGTGTTTGGCTCTTATTGTGACTTAGTTGAAGATCAGATCCCATTTTTATGAGTAATTCATGCAGAAATCCAGGTAATTCCAAAGGGTTCAGAAACATTTTCTCGCAAATTTATATATAATCAGTGTGTGTGTATATATAGTGTATATATATGTCTTTTTGGGTAGGCTGAGTGTATATATTTATATAGTGTATATATGTATTTATATTTAATGAATATGAGGTGTGTTTTAAATTCACATCTGGGTGAGTAAGAGCCAGTGTCCAAAGGCAGAAGCATTAATGGGCTTAGCTGTGTAAGAAATATGCATTGCATTGGGAGTGTTTAATAATAATAATTGCTTAAACTTATGTAGCTCTCCACTCAAAGCGCTTTACAGGTAATTGGGACTTCCCTCCACCACCAATGTGCAGCAACACCTGGATGATGACAGCAGCCATAGTGCGCCAAAATGCTCCCCACACATCACCTTTTAGTGGGGAGGAGAGCAGAATAATGAAGCCAATTCATAGAGAGGGATTATTAGGAGGCCATGAATGGTGAAGGCCAATGGGAAATTTAGCCAGGACACCATGCTTACAACCCTACTCTTTTCGAGAAATGCCCTGGGATTTTTAATGACAACAGAGTCAGGACCTTGGTTTTACGTCTCCCCCGAAGGACGGCGCCTTTTTACAGCATAGTGTCCCCATCACTATACTGGGGCATTAAGACCCACATAGTCCGTGGGGTACGAGCGCCCCCTGCTGGCCCCATTAACACCTCTTCCAGCAGCAACCTTAGTTTTTCCCAGGAGGTCTCCCATCCAGGTACTGACCAGGCTCACACCCACTGACCTTCAGTGGGTTGCCAGTTGTGAGTTGCAGGGTGATATGGCTGCTGGTTTATTTGTGTATGTTCTTTTGCTGCATAGGTATGACCACACAAAACCACCCAAGCAGGAAAGCCTGGATGGCCCCAAGCCAATGATGCCACTGAATTTCATCACCTCCTCTGACAGCACCTCGGATACAAAGTCCAGTGGACCCAGCGGTAGAGCTGAAGGTGTGGAGCACCCACACGGCTCAGGTGCTGTAGACTGGGTCAATGCCGCCGAGTTTGTGCCAGGGCAGCCGTACTGTGGGCGTGGTGAGTTGATTGGTTTTAAACTCAGAATCCGGGTGACTGAATGGTAAAAGGGAGTGAAGATCCAGCTCTTGCCAGTAGTGCCTTGAAAAGTTTAATTTTCAGTTCTCCTTTTTGTGGTGTGTCATTGTTATTGTTTATCACAAATTGAGTAAATTCTCATTCATTTAGTGTGGCCTTGCTTTTTCAGGTCTCGCACTCAGCTCAGGTTTGTTGAATTTGGTTGAATATTCTTTTTTCGAGCTGCTGAATATGTTTTTCATCGCATTTCCACCCGATCTGGATTTGAGAACAGCCTTTGTCTTGGCTCACGGCAGCCACCTGTGTGGGTTGTGCACAAGGCAAATAAAAGTGTGTAGATTGGCTCAACGGGTGGGCGGGTCAGAAGAGCACTTCATCTTTTTTTTTTCTTTGACATGCATCGAGCTCTGCAAGAATGTGTAGGAAGAGAATGATGTCCTTCAGTGAGGGCGCCATGAGCCAGCCGGTATGCTGGAAATTGCAGAAACTGGTGTTTCCATGGAGCTGCGAGAGCTTGGCTGATTAATCCCAGACATGGTTATCTATTGGAATGCTCCATTCTTTCATGTCTGGGTGTCTGGATCGGAGACCTCCTGCGCTTGGAGCAAGTGCCTTTACTAGTTGAGCAACTCGGGAGCCAAATGACTAGTGCTTTTGTGTAAATGAGAAGAAGAAGAAAAACTTTGGTAATACACCGGACATAGTGACACTCTTTTAATAATGTTTTGCTAATTTTTCATTTAAAACTGATGCTCAAAGAAGGGTGGATGTAAAACTAGGTATCAAAATATCTAAATGGCAACACGTTGGTTGCAAGGCTAATTTTTTTTTTAGTTGGATTAAAAAACATCCAAAACACCACTTAAAATGGATATTCGGGCATTTAAAAAGGGAATGGTTGCAATATCTGGCCCTGAAGAACATTTTTCAGCTTTGATATTTCTGACTCATCCTGTTAGTTTCACTGCATTTATCTGGCATGAAATGTATTGACATATGTTTACTGTGCACATTTTACTTTTATTGTGGTTTGAAATTCACCCACCAATGCTCATTCTTTCTAACCCTGAAATGTAAAAATAGCCTTGCAGTTCCCCATTAAAGCAAGCAGGTGGGACCTTCAGACTTGCGAATGGAGGAGGCAGCTGTAGGCTGTTTCGTTTTCAGTGGGAGTGTCGGGTAGGCTCTAGGCAGAATGTATGTGAAATCTGTTGATGCTCTGTGCTTCTGCAGCTGAGCCTGTGCTGGCGGAGGGTCCAGGGCCAGTGATTGAGGAAGAGTATGAGAAGGAGCAGGCGGACAAGGAGCTGAAGAAACAGCTGTGTCCATATGCGGCTGTTGGGGAGTGTCGATACGGGGTGAACTGTGCCTATCTCCATGGGGACGCCTGTGATATGTGTGGTCTGCAAGTCCTCCACCCCTCCGACTCCACTCAGAGATCGCAGCATATCAAAGCAAGTTCTGTTTCGCACCCTTGCTCGTCGGATGTAGCAACATGTATTGCATTGGACTTTCAATTTTGGCTGTTATGGCTGAAAAGAATTTTGGTCAAAAGACATTTTTGGTCACTCCAGAAAATTTAGAGGCCATGAACAAAGTCAGTGTTTTGTCATTCATAAAAAATTTGGGTATTTTAAAACAAGGGTTTGAATAAAAGTTACAAGCTGTGTAAGTCTTAGGGACAGTTTCATATTTGATTAGTGCTACTTTTTCAGGTACTTCAGTATACAGTAATCCCTTGCTATATGTGAAATTTACATTACACAAATTCCTCCAACCCTATTTTTTCTCATTCTCAAATTTACCATTTGCAGATTTACCTATCATGAGGGTTGTCAGGAATGTAATGGTTGGCAGGGGATTACAGTACCAGACTCTCAGCAGTTTGTTATATGAGTGATAGGAACTGAATGCATTGAATTGAAGTACTACAATTTATAGTGGTTAATAAACAGAAGTTGGGATTGTTTTCCTGCTTGACATGTAAGGCAAAGTAGGAGTATTTGCTTAAGATTGAATAGGTATCTAAAGAAGTTAAAAAAATTAAGTTTAGCTAAAGCCTAAAGCAGATATTTATGCTTCATAAAATACAAACTAACTCTTTTTTAACTCCATTATAGGGTGATGATTAAGAAGAGTAAAACATTGTTGCATTGATCCTACAGCGTTTGCAGTATGTTTTGCAATTTATGTCAAAGCAAAGTAAAAAAAAAAACGTGCCTAACTAAAATCCTGAATTGAAACCTTTCCTACATGTCTTGCACAGCTGCAGAACTTTGCAGTTCTTCTGAGCGCACAGATTTAGGAGAAGATGAGTTCTAGCAACTTGTTTTGTCCCTGATGCCTCCAGGCCTGTATTGAAGCTCACGAGAAAGACATGGAGATCTCGTTTGCCATCCAGCGCAGTAAGGACATGATGTGTGGGATCTGCATGGAGGTGGTGTACGAGAAGGCCAACCCCAGTGAGCGACGATTTGGAATCCTCTCCAACTGCAACCACTGTTACTGTCTAAAGTGCATCAGAAAGTGGAGAAGCGCCAAGCAGTTTGAGAGCAAGATTATCAAGTAAGGCAGAAACCCTGCAAAAGAGAAGCTACTGTAATTAATGCAAATAATGAGAAAAGATATCAGTGTTTAATCCAGGCTGCTGCTCTTGTTGAAAGTGCACACTTGAACAATCCCAGCAGGCGTCAACATAGAATGAATTTTTCCAGTCTTTGTGACTGCGAGTCTTTTTAAAAGGAAAATATGCTTTTACCTGAAAGCTAGTTTGGCAGGTATGACCTAAGTAAAAGCCATACAGTAATACAAACTAGCATTTTTGTGGTTCAACTTGATATTTAGGACATTTTGTTTACTTTGATAAATCGTACATTTCCACATCTGTTTGATTCCATGTGATATAAAATGCAGTGTCTTCTGAAGTAAAAATGAAATCCATTCTGAGCAGAGGAAAATATCCTGTCATGTTAAATATCCCTTGAAGTCCCTTATTACTTCAGAGATTATCCTGCTTCTATGAATTGTTTGGAGATTAGCATGCCTCTCTCTTGTGTAAATTGATCATGTAGCTGATGCCTGAGTATATGTGCATGGTCTTGCTCTTTAGTATTTTCTCTGTGGTTAGGGTTTCTCATTTGTGTTAACTGCTTTGAAACAGGTTTAGCGATTCTCATGTTGATATGTTCAAAATGCTATTACCCTTTTCCAATATGAACTAACACGCCAAAGTGGTATAAACCATTATTAAATATTAGGTTCCATTTTCTAAGAGTGAGGGACTAATATTTCTTGACAAAAGGTTGCATAGCGTATTGCTGGTGCAATATCTGTTTACATTTATTCTTTTCAAAGTTTTGTTACTGTGCTACACCTGTGGTTCTCATTATCTAATATTGATTTTCTTGCTTCAATAATATTAAAATACATTTGAAAAAGCAACTTATATGATAACACTTTAAATGTAATTTAAAATGACAAAAATAAAAAAGGAATTAACATCTTAAACAGTTCCATGTTTCTAGTCTGTGCTTATAGGCTTAACACAGGGTTAATGTATTAGTGTCCAATAAATGAGAATATTTAGACACCCATTTCTAGATTTTGGTAAATATCAGGATTATTTCTCCAGGTGATGTTATTTGCCCTTGTCTTCCATAGATCCTGCCCTGAATGTCGAATTACATCAAATTTTGTTATCCCGAGTGAATACTGGGTAGAAGACAAAGAAGATAAACAGAAACTTATCCAGAAGTACAAAGATGCAATGAGGTACTACAAGAGGAAGGACCCCATTAGAGTCACATCCTCTCAAGATTGAATTGCTTGACGTGACCTGGCTCTTTACTGAGCCCAAGGGGTCTTTTTGCATGAAATGTTTTCAAGCACTTCCAGATATTTCATAGAACTTTCATCTGCTTGTTACTGCTGAAATCTTTCAGCAGAAAATGATGCATTTATAGTTCTTTATTTTCGAAATGGTGTATGCTTATTAACACATTACCTATAAATACTCATTTGGATATTAGACTGTGAAAGTTAACAGACAAGAGCATAGAGATTTCTTGCAGCCTTTCCCCTTAATCATAGGAGGTATGCTAGAGATAATTATCACATTTGAACAGAGCTTAAGAACACAATGTGTTTTTTCTAGTCTGCAGTGGTCAAATTTGCATTTTTGTGGCTTTACATACTTCAAACCCAGCTTGCTTTAAAAATTAAAAAATCCACTGAGAAGTTGGTGTCCACTGTGTCTTGCGTCTTGTGAATTCCATCATGGGTTGCCGTATACACTTAAGACGTTCTCTTTTTGCTCATTTGTAGTCTGGTATCATCAAACCTTTTTAGTGCAGTAAAATCTGCATGTTTTCTAGGTTTTATCAAGTGAAGCTTCCCAAGTATTTTTAGTTAAAATACCTCATCAAACTTCAATGAAAACCAAGGCTATTCCATCCAAATAGTCACAGTAGTAATTGTGGCAGATGGTACTCTGATTTTTTGGTTACCTCTCATTGTTTCCATGAATGTATCTAAATTGTCAGCAGTACAACATCTATAGAGCACAGTAATTCATCCAGGAACTAAATCAGTTAATTCTACGATTTTGTTTTGAGCTGTCTGAGCAATAACTCAGTGATGGTGGCTTGCCTGTCCTGTCTGTTCACTGTAGCAGCAAGCCGTGCAGGTATTTCGATGAGGGCCGTGGGTCTTGTCCCTTTGGAGGGAACTGTTTCTATAAGCATGCCTACCCCGATGGCCGTCTGGAAGAGCCGCAGCCACAGAGGCGGCAGCTGGGCTCGGCAGGGAGACACCGGGTAAGACTCTTTATGAGCGTCTGGCCATAATTATGGTTTAACAGCAGCTTCTTTCTGCCAGCCAACAGATAAGATGTGTAATCTAATTTTCATTATTTCATTTTGTAGCAATGCTCATTTTATTTTACAATGCACTATATTACAATACAATATATTAGCTTAACTCCCACTTAACATTGTTTGTCTTTTGAGCGGCTTAAGATTTTCTCCAGATTGTATAGTGTTCCCATATATTGTTTCAAAACCGCAGTCTTTTTTTGTGTGCCTTTTTTATAGAATCAGAGACGAACGCCTCTTTGGGATATATTTGACGAGCGAGAAAGTACCGACTCCTTTGACAACGAAGATGATGATGTTGTGACCTTTGAGTTGAGTGAGATGCTGCTTATGCTGCTAGCTGCAGGCACTGATGATGAAATCACAGATTCGGAAGATGAGTGGGACTTGTTTCACGAAGAGTTGGACGATTATTATGAGGTTTACCTCTAGCACCCCCCACCCAAACCCTCTCCATCCCCTCTCAAGTACCCAGTATGGACTGTCTTGTGTGAGTGTTGGACAGTAGCTTATTCCCCTGTGTTGTGGCAGTGCCTTTAAGCAGGCCATGAATTAAAAATGCGAACTAAAACAGGTCGGTACACTTGTGCTAAAGCCTTTTCTAGAATCCTGTCCATTCTGTGAGTCTGTCAGTGTCCAGTTACTTTATTGAAAAAACTGATAAAAAACAAAATTAATAAAACTTCTTAATTTAATTCATGGGTGTGGATTTGACTTGTATATCATCTACCCAGGTGTTATAAAGGCTGTGTGTTTCTCTGGATGCACCGTCTTAATTACAACACTGCACTGGTGATGGTTGTGGTATTCCTAAACTTGATCTGTAAAAGAAGGCTTGTAAATTTTTTAGAGCACTGAGTTTGGGTTGGGTTGAATTTAACATGGACTCTTAAAGTAAATTTGAATTGACCTCTTTTCCTGCACTGTGGGAACACACCTTTGTGTTCACAAGTGGGTTTTTAAGTACATTTTCCCCATGTATTATTCTGAGGAAAAACTGAATCACACTATCAAGGAACACCTGTGGTACCTAATAGCAAGTCCCAGCTCAGAACTGAATTGGAAGTAGAATTTTCATTTGGATTTGGATTTTGAGTGCAGAAGCCATGAAACTGGATGTCTGCAACAGTAAGAAATTAGTTTCATTCCATTAAAGATTTGTGGCAGTAAAAAACTAAACAAAACAAATAATCACAAGACTCTTCTCATTTTTCTGTGTTCAGCAACAGTATAAAACGTGTATTTATAAAATATGTTCAGGTTTTTATGATGCAGAATCATTCAACATAAATTGAAGATTAAAGTTTATTTTCATCAAATTATCCCAGGTTTATTGGGTGCATTTTCTTGATCAAACTGCGAATTGATTTTTCAACTCCCTCATGCCCTTTTCAGTCAAAGTTTTACATATTCTTTTGAATGTTCTTTATAAATGTTTAATGTTCTAACACATTTTCTTTCCAGTATTGGCAAAAAAGGGTCAAATCAATTGGCATGTTTCCACAATTGAATTTATCTTATGTATAATTTGCAGCTGCTTCAACAGCTGTGGTAACAGATTTGTTATATATTTCCTTCTGTCTTTTCAGGTATGCCGCAGGGTATTAGAAGTGTGGATTTTGGTATTAGAAGCAAAGTTTAAAAACAGTGTATGTGTTATATCTCAGGATATGTTATCTTTGATGTCAAGCACCAGAACAATAGGTTCTGAATATAAAAGCAGGATCTAAGTTCAATAGTAGTTACAGTGATAAAAGATGGGTTTTGATACCACAGTTTCTTTCTGAAGAAGTTTTAACTTGCTTTACATGCAATGAAGTCAGGTCTTAATTGCAAGTAGAAAATCGTCTGGAAACATTTCAGAATTAAAGAAATTATGAAAGTGTTTCCATCCTGTATTGGTGCTAAACAGAAATTTAACTTGGTTATCAAGGTTTAGGAAAGTATGTATTGGTGGATTTCTTCATAATTGTTTTTGTAAATGTGGGGCAGTTGTAGCTTTAAGAAAGATAATCAATCTCAGGAAGCTGAACATATAATCGAAAGAGTTACAAACACTGAAAATGATTAATGTTTTATATGTTTTATTTCATATTTTTAAAATCTGACAGATGGGTACCAAAAAAGACTGTGTAGTAAATTCTTCTGTCAAGAGTAGCTTGAAAGGGTTCTGACATATTACCACGTAATTATTCATTACAGATGAATCTGTTTAATTGAGGTCAAATTCAGTTTACACAAACATTAATTGGTGCTATCAAACAGTTATCTATGAACACTTCATATATAGGGAACATGCTTCTCAGCCATGATGAAGTAAAATCCTCTGGCTTCTTTCAGGAAATGGTTGGATATGATCTTGGATCTGTTAGCCACTAGGTCCAACAGCTTCACCAGAAAATCCTGTTCACAAGTGGTAACTCCACTAGTCTTTCCACTGTGATCAAAATGTAGATCAATATCACCACTCTTCAAGAGACACATGTTCAGTACTGGAGTTTTTCATTAAAATGCATTTAATAGAAACAGAATGAGTATGCTTAATAAATTATGCAGCTACAAGAAAGTTAAGATTTTTTTTCTATTATTATCACTCTTGTTTTCACCTGTTCTTATTTTAATTGTATATTGACTTTGCCCGCATATGCTAAATCATAGGGGCTCTTTAAGATATCTCACCTGAGACATGGAACATGTTATTCAGAATTTGCACAATCCTACCAGTAAGTGGATGATAAATTATCACTGAAGTGTACTGAAACTGTATTGAAATGTTAGCTAGTGAACATGTGGTATTAACTATAGGTTGTCACTTCACATTTTTATTTGTAGAATTATGTTTAATTTAACTTTTTTAAAACTCAAGTGTCAAGTAGCCTTATTAGTAGTGTCATGTCTCTATAGATGCTCCCTATTACTGGTGTTAAACTCGCCATCATCAATTCATCAGATAATCTCATTCTTTAAGCCTGATCCTAATATTGTATGCATTTCTTGCAGTTACATTGAGTCACAAATGAATTCACTTAGTCTGAATCTGAACGAATTCACCCTTTTTAGTTGTATAGGATGAAAGCTATTAATACTCAATATGAATTTCCCTTCTGGTTTTTATTATACAAAGATGCAGTAAATTGACAAACATCTGTTAAAATTACAATATCCAGGTTACAAAATAATAGTTATCTTTCATTTAAAATGTTAAATGTGAGCAAATCTTTAAGTTCCAAATACATTAATCTTCACCACCAGACCTCTACAAATGTATCCATATATGAATCAGTATAACTGTGCAGTACTAAAATCTATCTCTTCCTTATTTGAAAATAAAAAGCATCTACAAAGAGATGCATACACTATGTGAGATGAGCAAGAAATGTCATTAATGTGTGCATGTGTTGCCAAATAGTAATGAGCAACATTAATAGTATTATTATAGTATGTAATATAAATTGTATATAAAGTTCTTAACATTAACATTCTTAGTACCTAAATATTATTTTCTGATAACTTATCTCACTACAAATAATTCTGTCAGTGGTGTTCTAATTATTGAACAGAAGGCTGTACATGTTGATGGTTCAATCAATTATACTAAACTAGAAACAGCTGGTCTTGTGGATCTGATATGCATTTTCATACATATAATCACATATGATGGAATGCATATTTAAGGCACACTAAATCACAGTATAATTCTTCATCTTTGATCAATACATTGATTCTCAGTTGCTGCCAAAAAGATCTTTCACTTCTTGCTGAACATGAAATGATGGATCAAAGGGTATGTGTAACATTTGTCTTTAGAAAGTTATCTATAGTCTTCTATCATTCTACAGTTTCCATATCCACAATAGCAGCTGTTCAGTTTTTATGATAATCTTGGGACTCATTTTAAAATTCAGATAACATCTGTATTTGCCCACCAGCACATTAGGATTTAGTTTATACTTCTCCTTGAAAACAACTTTTCACAAGTCTATAAAAAGCATCCTAAAACCACAAGATGGTAAATTTCCCATCTGGCTTGATTGTTGTTAACACCTCTGTGCTGGTTCATAACAAAATAATTAAGCGGGCAAGTGGATCATAGATTACTCTCTGCATTTGTGTTGTTTTCAACATTGTAGTTCTTTGAAGACCTGTTTGACATTTTTTTTTGTCTGAGTCCCAGAACTCCACAAAAAAGGTGTCAAAAATATTTTATCCTTCAGGTTTTGAATGATGATTCATTATAGTATGTTCCATACTCTAGTTCAAAGGAAAAAAGGGAGAAACTACCTGATTCTGAACATAGCATATAATAGTACCAAAATGAAAAGAACCATGAGGCTAAAATACTCTATTGAAGATTGGAAGACAGAACAACACTGGCTAAGAAACTGTTAAGGAGGAAGCTTTGCACTTGAAATGTTTTCAAAGTCTGATTATGGAATTAATATGGGATGTCCATCCTGAAGAAAATTTAGGATAAAATACACCATATTTAACAGCTCTTTTTACCTCGTAGAAATCTAAAAACTGAATTGTAGTGTATTTCTTTTAAATGAGGAATCTTTATATCAAGTAAAAGAAAGGAATCCATAACGTTATGCTGGAAAGGGCTTTTAAAAATCATTGCAACACACAAATATGCAGAGGTGTACGTGATCTTCAATGGCAAGTTCACATTAATATCTTTCCCATGGAAGAACAAGCTTACCTTAATTAAGAGTGTTTTATATACCTATGCGTCCGGATACATTACAGTCAGGCATGCTCAGGGCCTTGAAAAACGAATTCATCTGTTCCCTCCCACACAGAACATTACTCATTCTATGAAATATTTACTCATTTGGGATGTATGTACACTTTTTAATGTGAAGTTGGAAACGAAGCATTCCTATTCAGCTCTGTCCTACAGAGCTAGTGAAGAGTACCGTGCCTTAGAATCTGTAATGAAACCCTCTTCCCTTTCTGTGGGAAACTTGAAGTGACATGAAGGATATTTAATAGTCTTCTTAGGCCTCATTTTTCCTGATCCATTTAGTGCACCTTTGACTGTGGTCATAGTGATGTCTTAATAATTTCTTGCCTAAGAAGGCCTTTCTTCTTCAGAGTTTTCCACCAGAATAGTTGCTCTTAAATCAACCGAATTGCATTACCCGTCATCTTTATGGAAGACGAAAATGAGCAGCTTTCAAATTTTGATGATACAAAATACAGATTTCTTAATGTGTAAACAAGATTTTTTTAACATTTTCATTTGCACAGTCTTCGCACATCCGAAGCTGAATGTTGTTGAAGCAAGTGAAGGAATTGATTTAGTATAGTGCATATACTTTTTCCACTCCTTTGTCTGAATTTATTTAAACGCAGCATTTATTCAGTTTCCTTCACTGCTGATGTTCGTGGTGGTAAATCTTGTTACGCAAATTGCGCTAATGGGCTTGTAATTGAGACATGCATACTGTAGCACTGTGCAAACCGTTTAGAGGAAAATATCATGAGAAGGCTACTCAGATGCTCTGCCATTTACTTATGAATGTGTTTTATGCATTTTAGCCATTTTTGTTTCTTGGAATACTAAGCCTTCATTTCTCTTGTAAGATTATATATTTTGTACATTTGCAAGATTTTAAAAATGAAAGGTTATACACAAATGCAATGTCCCACAGTCCTAACATCTGAGAACCCTTAAATCCCTTTAGTTTTACACATATATTCAGAGAGGCACTTGAGAAATGCAGCCCCAAGTTAAAGGTAAGCATTAGAAAGATAACAGGGTTTTGATTTGATCTAGATGTCAGGATGTATCATGAAGGTGAAAGGGTCTGCACTGATGCAGTTTAATTTCAGTGGGAAATGTTGCTGGAATCCAGTAATGGTGAATGGGAGGGGTCCTGAAAATCATAGTATCTTAAGACTTGTCGATCTGCCAGTACATTCCTAGAGCTCCATACTCTTTGACTTCATATACTCTGGAAGTAATGAGGAGAGGGAAAAGGGGATGTGGCATTTTATACAGGGATTTCATAGCCTCTTATTTTGATTTTATTATGTCTCCATAATGCTATGTTATCTATACATCCACTTTTAACGTTTAGTAGTATATGGCTAAACGTTTACATTTAAACTTCGCATTCTCTGCAAAATTATACACATGGGATAAATCACAATTATTGTCTCTAATGTCGATTTGTTCTGGAAGATAATTGCATTTTTGTTGAGTAATATATTATTTGAAACCACATCTATTAATTGTATTTGGGCAAACGCAATCCATCCTCTGGAAAATCCGGACCGGGATTTCGACCAACCTCCTACCTCCCTTTCACCTAAATACTGATTTTTTTTTTTCTGAGAGAGAGGGGAAAAGAGGGGGAGATATACAGTACAATGATCGCAGCATTTGGAAATGAAACCCCTGAAGCCGGCTACCCCCAACCAAAAACGGTGATCAAACCCGAGGGAAAAAAATCCCCGGAAAACGAGTCGCTGTTCGTTCGAACCGCCTCATTTAGAAGAAATTCACAGACTTCCACGGGCAGCGGCAACCCGGAGGACAGCAGCACCAAGCCCCTCGTTTCTACGGCAGCTGCTGCAGCTGCATACATCATGACAGCTGGTGAATTTCTGCAAACCGCTCCCCTGTTCGTCCGCAGATCCAAGAGAAACCTGTTTTATAAGATCCTGTGCTTTCTGATCCTCTTATTCCAGGGTGGTATCCTAGATTTCTACCTAATTGTGTTTACCGATCTCTACTGGTGCTCATGGATCGCTACCGACCTAGTGGTGATGACGGGCTGGGGGATTTTCTTCTTGAAGAACGCCAGAAGCAAACGCGAGCGCGCCTGTAACTTCCAGCACCAAAAGGGCTCTTTTTATGGCTGCAACCTCGGAGAATTTACCTTTGCCTACCTGGCGTGGCTCATTTATGTGATTGCCTGCACGCCGAAAGTGGTTCTGATTTTGGAGACTTCCATCCTGGATTTGATCGAGCTGAAAGTGCCGCTAGGAATCACGGGTTTTAAAGTCATTATGATGCTCTCGGTGCCTCTACTCTACTGCCTGATCAATGCAATCATCGAGGATTTAGCCGGAGCGACCTACTACCATTCTCAGAGCTGCTTCGTTGCCTCTTCCTTAGATTTGGTGGATAGTTTCACTTTGATAGAGATGCTCCTGATGAACGAAATCCCGACTATTTACCTTAAGTATACCGTGATCGCCGTGTATTTTCTTGTTCTGAGCATCCCTATTCTTTGGCTTTACGAGCTGAACTCCTCGCAGCTACACTGCAAGTGGATCTGGGCACGATTCTTCTCCGGTGTGTTGGTCAATGTCCCGTTGCTGGTTGTCAGGTGTTTCCTGGTATACTCGTACCAGATGCCGATCTCCGTATTCATGTTCAAGAACATGTTTTTCTTAGGTTGCAGGTGTCTGGAATTAGTGGAGCAATGCGTCAGCGTAAATGGGGTGAGGAGATTCAGCAGTAACCCAGTGCAGTTTTCTCACTGCGTCTCCGAAAACGACATGTGTCCTCATGGGTATGTCAACACTTTGGCTGTCACGACTCAGAACTGAGCAACGTGTCACTCAAAGCAGGAATCCACTCTTGTGACACTGACGCACAGGACCACTCGGGCGTTGATAAAGCCTTAATCTTCGTATTTCCAGTCTATACCGTTTCAACAGGTGCTACAGAAAACCTCTACAACAGGGCACACCTCCAAGGACGGTCGGGTAAAGCGAAACACACATGCCGAGGGCCAGACCAACCGGATGAACAGGCTTTCAATACGAGGGTCCTTCGTTGTTTTTATTGTACAATTTATTAATTAATTTCTGAGTTTACACTTGTACAGTTCGTTGCACTTTAACAGTTTTTAATGCGTTTCCATTTAGCCAACGCGAGGAATATGATATTAAGTGCAATATAGATGAAAAAGTAGTTGTCCTTTAAAATGGTGTTAAAAGTATGAATTTTGCATTGGTGAAGTGTGGTACCGTGTGTGATTGTATCGTCACGCACTATTTTTAACTTCAAAGATTAGTAACGTTTTGCGTAATTCAAGTACTGTATGCATGTTCACAAATTAGAGATCTCGAATGAACTGTGCACAGGGTCAGATTTGTTGTGCAGGGGATATAACATTGATTGCAACACTGTATTCATTAGATATACTCTAAATTGCATAGAAGAACTGGCCAGGAGTGCAACAAACCATAATTTATAGTGCGTTGCTCAATCGGCAAAACTTTAAGTTGCAACAATAATAAATTGCAATGAGTAGAAATAAAAGACTGAACCAATTTTGGTTTTGAAATATAGACTTTTTAAAAAGTCGCAGCAGGGGGATTTTTAATCGTCTTATAAGTACAATACAAATATTTAACAACACTGACAGTGGCCGCTACGTTTTAAGGATAAAAAAACCCAATGCTATTTAATTTGCACCTAAACACCTTAACACGCAGGCGTAACTCGCCCAAAGCTTTCGATACAACCGGTTTTGTTGGGAAAAGCCTGCTTTTTGCTTGTTGGTTACACACGAACAAAAATATTAGCGGTAAAGATTTTGGTTTAAGAGTTTTCTATAATTTCTAGCATTGTCCACCTTTCATTACTGAACTATATCATTCACGTACATTTTTAGTGTACACATTTCTAATAGCTTTAAGTTTTGTTTAGTGTTAATCAACCGCTTCAGGGGTTAATTGTACACTGACATCTAATCATATCGTATTTTGAAAGACAGTCTGTACCTAATAGTCACAATGTCTGTCACCGGAAGAGAACAAAGTTCCGGTGATTTTATCTTCTACATATTAATTTAACCAAATTTGTTTTGCTAAATAATTACAATTTAATTAACAGTCCTTTGCATCAGCAGTTTGCCTTTTATTCTGTGAAATGTAACCCCTTTCTCTAATGCATATTGGTGTGATGAGCTGTTGATGTGCTCAACATGCGATGTCATCTACTCTCGCACAAGAAAGGGAGCTGATAAGATCAAATGCTATAGCTTATCACTGCAAGAAGAATTGACTTTCCGAATTTAACTTTATAAACAGCACCTAAAATATGTGGGCCATTAACTTGAAATCACTTTCGTAATTGGATCATGTGTCATTCATCACTCCTCAAATCCAATGGGATTTTCTAGGTTGAGGCCCAGTTTAATGTGAATGCTTCTACATTTACAGTCTGTTAAAGACTGTTGAAGGCCTAGAGGGAGTGCAGTGTTGGATTTGTAAAATATCATTACTCTAACCTTTGGAAATAAAGGATGTATGAAACAATATGAGGAGTCCTTGCCTAATAATATAGACATTCTACTAATCTCTCAAAAATAATCACTATTAAAGGCTATGCTGTTGACCTCTTATGCATATGTCAAGTAAATCAGAATACAAAAGGTTCAGATAATCTATGTGAAAAACATAAAGCTAATATTTGTCATTAGTGTTCTAAAGAAATGTGTATACAGAAAAATACTGACATACCCATACAAAATATCAGTTGTTTCACAGAAACAATGCTTGACAAACCTTGACATTGGCTGGCATGGTGGCACGGTGTTTAGCACTGTTGCCTTACATCTCTAGTGTCCTGGCTTCGATTCCACTCAGCACCTTCTGCATGGTGTTTGCATGCTATCCCCATGTTCACATGGGTTTTCATCAGTTGCTCTGTATTTTTCCCTCAGCTTCCAAAGACGTGATGGCTAGACTGTGACACAGACTTATGTTAATGTCTGTGTGCCCTGCAATGGGCCGGCGTCCCATCCAAAGCGTAGTTTTGTCTTGTGCCCTGTTTTTCCAGGCTAGGCCCAAGTTTGCCGTGACCCTTACCAGGAATCAATAGTTTTCTGATAATGGGTGTATGGACAGCTTGGTTTTGATACATCACACCATCCAAAATGTTTTCAGCAGCACATTGCTGAATATGTTTTTGTTTCTGTGTATTGTTTAATTTTTCATCTGACTTGTCTACCTCTGACGACCTTATGTTTTAGATCAATGTTCGTATAATTTGACATGAAATATATGTAAAAATGATTGGTGTGTAGTTTCCTGGATAGAAGATGTTTTTCCTTTTGTAGGTGGGCATACCCTTTGCCATTTATTTTAATCTGTGAAAAAAAAACCTTGTCCTAAGTGCCTGCTGAAAACCCCTGGGTGACAGGACATACTGTATACAGTACTTGAATATAACTGGGAAATATCTACAGGCTGATTGACTGTTGGTTTGTGAATCCTAGCACGTGGAATGCTCACATCTCAGCTGTAACAAGATCACTCAAAACTGAACACTGTCCATCATCAGCATAAGACGTGCTGTCTGCATGCTCTTTTGGTGAATCCATTTCTGAAATACTCATTGAATATTTCACTATCATTTTCATCTTCTACCATTAACTCACAGCTATGATTGATGTTTCACTTCTACCTTTACTGGTCTTTTAGTGTTATAGTATGCGGGACAAAACAAAGGTATTTTTTAAAAGATATATTGATTACAGAACTGCACTAAAAGCAGAGGTATACAGTATTCTTTGTGTGTTCCCTTCTAAAACAC